CCTGGGCAAGGCTGAGGGAGACGCGCTTCCGCCTCCTCTGGCCCGCGCTGAGAGCTACGCGCGGGGGAGCGGGCGGCTCCGTGCCCGTCGCCCGGCCTGCAAAGGCTCGGCCCCGCCCGCCCTGGTGTTGCCCCCTTGGCTTGCGCCCACCACCGTGTGACTCCTCCGCTCCGCCTCGGGCCCCTTCGCACTCGCTGGGCCCTGGTACCAGCCCGTGCCTCTTCCTCCCGAACCTCCCTCCCTGCCAGCCCGGGTTGAAGGTGCCCATCCTTGCCCCGAGCCGCATGATCCGTCCTGCCTGCAGCACCTGGCCCAGGGGACGTGTCTTTGGGATGTGTTGTGCAGAGGCTGGGGGAGGATGGCAGCTCTGGCAAGTTGGCTGGAGAGAAGCAGGTCCGTAGCTCTGGAGGCGAAGATCCCTGCGGTGGGCTACGGCTGTACACACTGGGGTGAAGGAAAGCCGCCTGCTCTGTAGGGGTGGACACTGGACGGCGCCCTGCCGAACAGAAGTGCACTGAGTTACCCAGCTCTGAATGACCCCCGCTCAACCATTCAAAAGTCAGGAGTCCGGTTCCAAGAGCAGCATAAAGCAATGAGGCTTTTAACAACAAATGCAGTCGGGATTTATATTAGTAGTTCTTTGGTTGTTGAGTCTTTAGGGAGCGCTGATCATGTCGGGTGTTCATCTACAACACTTAGGAGTACAACGTTATTTAAAAAAAAGGAAGAAAGCTTAGATTCCCACTTTGCTATAAAGGACCAGGATATTGCAATGTTAGATATAGCGTGGGAAGTTTTGGCTACGGGAGTTTGTATGCTATTGTAAGAACTGACTGGCTTGTACTGTAAATGAATTGTTTGCTACTGGATGTCCACGGGATTGCTTGCTGAGTTACACGTCCTGCAGCTACAGGAGTTTCCACCTTTGGAACAGGAGGGTGTGAGAACTCGTTCTTCGGCTGCCGTGAATTGGTGGTTATGGCAGTGATTCTCAGCTACCGCATAGGGACACCCAGGGATCCTTTGAAGAGTGTAGATGTGAGGAGATAGATAAGCACAGGATCAGGCACAGTCCCTGCCTGGCTCTTCCCCTGGCCCTGCTGCCCAGCCTCTTGGCAAGGAGGTAAAGTACTGTAATAAATAAGTTTTTACGACAGGGTGCTGTCCACAAAATTTATGGGGGGGCACTCTAAAAAGGTTGAGAACCACTAAGTTATGGTATATAGCAGCAGTTCCCAAACTGACAGATTGCACGCCGACAATTTAAAATGGTACAACCTTAAGTACCACCAGCAATTTTTTCAGTTCAACCTTAAGTACCACCAGCAGATTTTTGTCACGTAAAGTAATTATAATAAATCTGTTAACGTGTACCACTGACAGGTTGTCTGTAGACCACTGGTGGTATGCATACTGCAAATTGGGAACTGCTGGTATACAGCATATGAAACTGTAGTTACTAGGTGGCTAAAGATCATTAAACTGCTGTCACATGCAAAACTCGAACCTCTTCAGGTAGATTAGCTCCTTTTGCTGTACAGAAAAGTAGTGGTGATGAGACTACCTCAAGAAACTAGAAAATTTTTGTTTCTCATGCTTACTTTTGATCAGCCTTTTTAATTGGTGCCACCCAATCAAATATTAATGGTTTCATTATTTTTTTTAAAAGGGGGCAATGGAAATAGACTACTGTGGGGGAGTAGATTACAAAAAGTCTTCAGTAGTGTTTAACAGGATGCTCTGATGCTTGTGTTAAGTGCAGGAGAACAGGACAATGAAACGGATGCTCTGCTATCTGCAACTGGTCAGTTTAGTTTAATTTTCCAAGTTGAGTGAAATGCAAAAAGTAAGTAATAACCCAGATGGCAAAAAGTAAACTTGCTGTTTGAAATTATTTCCATTTTGTGCCTTGATCCTGCTCCACTGTGGATTGGGACATTAATAATTAAGTGGATTATTAGTAACATAAGTAAAGGCCTTTTTATGTACAGTTCTTTAAGGATCCTTTCTGCATGTTGGAAAAAGACATTGCAGTGGATGTTGTGTGTTTAATTTGGATTACAACAGTCTTGTTAAGGTAAAACAAAGCTTTATAAATCATTTGATTTGGAGGTAAATGGAAACTCTGCCCTTCAGAGGCATCTACTGACTTCTGTGGTATTTCATGAATGAAAACATTTGTCCTTCTGGTCAATTTGTAGAGTGAGTCTCCAACTCAGCTCAAATTTTTGCCCACTGGTTTTCTTGGGTTCTGGTCCCAAAGGTACACAGCAAGAAACACCCAGAGAGAGGAAAGCAAACGGTAGGAATCTCAGTAAACAGTATAATATAGTCTCACTTGATATACTAGAGTATATACAATTCTGATTTTCAGCTTTGGTTTTCCATTTTATTTGTTTATTTTTGGGTATTTTTAAAGCAAGGGACAAAATTTCAATCAGTGAAATTGACTGTCTTTACAGACCCTGATATAACCCAAGGATAATGGTACAGTAAACTGTAATGACTCTATTGTGTTTAGATTGATATGGAAACTTGAAACTGTAGATTATTTCCAAAGAGTGAAGTAACTGGTGTTGGGGGTCTCATACATCAAGATGAGATATATTTTACAAGTATTCACAATTGTTCTTTTTGCTAGAAATCCTTTTTTCCAAAAGAAACAACTGCTTTTTGCTTTTCCAGAATAATAAAAAACAGTTTCTGTAATTTATTTAACTTTAATAGATTTCATAGACATTAGGGCTGGAAGGGACCTCCTGAGATCATCAGGTCCAGCCCCCTGGCCCAGGGGCAGGAAGTCAGCTGGGGTCAGATCACCTTAGCTAGATAAGCATCCAAACTTTAAATCTTTAAATGTCTTGGTTGCTGTATGCAGAGGAATAATAGTTAAAATAATTATGTCCTAATTGGGATTGTCCTATTTCCAGCTTTAACCTGAGTTACCTGTGCTGAAGTTAACTCCCCTCTACTTAGGAAAGCAAAACAAGCACCTCAGTTGCAAAGTGTGACTGGATCAAAAGTAGAGTATTTGCACTAGTCATTCTGTGTTGTCCTCACAGAAAAGTTGAATCACTACTACCATGAGCTGCAGCCCTGCGTGAGCTTCATGTATGCCAGGTAAGGTAACTTGAGTTTAAAGCCCTGGGTAAGTTGAGGTAGACATCTCTGTGTGTGCATGGGAGGTGGGCCAGTAAAAACAAGCCTGTTACCCAGTGTTAGCAGCATGCCCCCTGCCTGGCTGGAGCTACCGCTCCGTGTCCGGTGTGCCACGGTGCTTTTTTATTTAGGTAAGTGTGCCATGGGGCATAAAAGGTTGGGAAATGCTGCGCTAGAGTGCGTCCTTGGCTGCAGGAAAGGTGTGCTGGGGGGTGTGACCAGCCCTGGCAGTAGCCTGGAGTGAACTGGCCAGGGAGGGGATTTACTTCCTCCCTCCCTGTCCCATGGACCCAAGCTGGGGTCTGTTGGGTGCTCCCCCCTCACTGCCACAGCAGGAGGGATGCAGCCAGATGCCAGCCGGCATGGCTTCCTGAGGCAGAGAGGGCAGGGAAGGGGGTTATTTCTCCCTCTACCCCCTCTGTCCTCAGGGGACTATAACAGGGTCTGCCTGCCCTGGCTGCCACAGCTGCTGCTTGCTCCCTGCACTGGGTGAGCAGTGAGATGAGCTCCCTCTTGCCCAACTCCACGCCAGAGGGAGCGGGGAATAATCCCCATCCCTGCCTCCTGCTTAAGGAGCCATGCCAGCCGGACTCTGGTTGTGTCCCCGCCCCTGGAGCAGCAAGGGAGGAGTGACTGCAAGGGGAGCAGCAGCCCTTGTCCTGGTGTCCAGGGAGTGTCAGCCTTTTCCTGATGGGAGGGACCATGAGTGGGGGGCCAGAGCTGCCGCTGATTATGCAGGGCGTGTGGTGGCACCTGGGCTTGGAGGTGGCCATAACTCCGCAAACTCCTTTAGCGCCAATGCCACCGCTTGCCCTTCACAGTCCTCAGCAGCTTTCCCTGCCCCACAGTGCAGCCCACCACCAGGAAGAGGCTTGTGCTCCAGGACACCATGACAGGGGCTGCTGCCCCCAACATGGTTGCTTGCCCCTTGCTGGTCCAGTGACAGGGGCAGGGCATGGCCAGAGCCTGGCTGGTATGGCCTCTTAGGCGGGGAGTTAGGAAGG